TTCTTTTTTTACATGTTTGCAGCATATCAACTAAACTCACAATTTTATTTGTAATCTTATTTCCCAACATTTGGAGAAAAGAATAATAGTCATTGCAAGTAATTGTCTTTGGAGGATTAAGGGGGAAAAGTGGGGATTACCAGCTGTAAGCATGTAGAATATTGTTGCAAAACAGATCAGAAAAGATTAACAAACAAATGACAGTTTGATTTTCTTTACAGTAATTATTGTTGACTTTATTATCATTTTTTTTTAACCTTTTCGGATGAACCAACAACAAAATTATACGTAAAAAGTAATCTTACCTCTGTAAAAAATGACTGTTTGGTTAAACCCCAGATGAATTGATACATTTACCACCCAAAATTTAATTGATAAGAGCAAACAAATGAAGTTTATTGCATCATTTAACTTTAGTACAATCTCTAATTCAGAATTTTATTATGTAGGTTTTCTGATGCAGTTTTAAAGGAAAGGTTCATGATAGACATTAAATAAGCCAAATAAGCAATTTTTTACTACTTAGGTAATTATTTTCTTAAAATAATAAGTAAATATTTGTGTGAGAACAAGCAAACTTCTGAATTTCTAAATATATAAATTGTATATTATTTTAATTTAATATTTAAATAAGCTGATTTGAAAATATCATCAAACCGTTTTGTCAAGAATCAAATGGATAACTCCATCTACTCTAATAAACATGCAGAGATCATTGGAAGTCCTCTTCATATTTGTCTTGCCTTGTCTTGCCGCTGAAGGAGCATACAAGATATGGTGGTACGCCTCAGGCGGGACCCAGATCCCGTTTCTGGGCAATGCCGTCGCGAGCGACGTCGTTGCCTGCGTGCTGGAGCTCTGCTCATGGCTCTACAGGACGGCCGTCTTCTTCCTCGTGTGCGTCCTCTTCCGCCTCATTTGCAACCTCCAGATACTCAGGCTCCAGGATTTCGCCAAAGTGTTCCATCAGGACTCCAATGTGGAGTCTGTGCTGAGGGAGCACCTCAGGATCAGGCGGTACCTGCGGATTATTAGCCACAGGTACCGCGCTTTCATCCTGTGGGCCCTTGTGTTCATCACCGCCAGTCAGTTTGCTTCCCTTCTCGTCACCACACGCTCCGCTGCCGATCTCCATATCTACAAGAGTGGTGAACTTGCGGTGCGCCCATTTCTTACCTTGTTAATACTCCATCCGTTCACCAAAACGGTTCCTATTCTTACTCATGGTAGAAACAATGAGCTTATATTTGTAGTTGACTTTCCGATCTTGCCTTTGATGAGATGTGTTGATTATTGGTGAAAAAATATGATGTGATAGGTAGACTAAGAATTAGTAGGGGCAAAAGTGGTTTTTTCATAGAAAGTGAAAGAGAAAAAAAATTAGAGGAAGCGTTTCCGAAAACGGAGAGAGTATATTATATCTAGTGTAGGGTTCATTTGACACGAAAGGTCGATGATATAATATGACATTGTGTCATTTGATAGTCCTACAATACTCCGTTTGACCCCAAAATGAATTCTACCCCTACAAATCCTCTAGCTCTCTCGATGGAACCTAGGACAGTTGGAGGATTTGCATGGGAGTTAGGGGGTAAGAACTACTTTGGGGTCGAGCGGAGTACTCGAATGCCTTCAAATGACATGTGTGCATGCCGATGAAACCGAACCGGTGAACACCCATAGGCCCTAACACTTCTTCTTGATTCCATATTTGCCATGCAGTTGTGCTCGGTGAGCCTTCTCGCGGGCCTCATGATACTGCTGAGAAGTGCAACAAGAATCACGCACAAGGCTCAAGGGGTGACATGTCTTGCTGCCAAGTGGCACGTGTGTGCCACAATAGACTCGTTCGAATCCGTCGAAGCCGAGACTCCGACCGCCGCTCAGAGCGGCGGTGGGGCCCACTCTTTTACGCCGACGTGTTACTATGATGGATCTTCTGATGCGGATGATGATGATGTCGGGGACGAAGAAGACGAGCTAGACAACACCAAGTTTGTCCGCTCATATGCTAATAGCACCATCTCTTTTCAAAAAAGACAAGCATTGGGTAAGTCATCTCTGATGTTCAGCCTCTATTAGGATATAATAACATTTTCGGACATTCAATATCACAAGTTTGAACTTTTGGTTGACTTGTTCTTTGATACTCCGTATGATATTATACTGTTGTTGACCTAAAGGTCACGGGTTCGAAACCCAAATTTAAAAAAGAAAATGTTCAATGTGCCTTGCACGTGTTAGGGCTTTATTGACCTAGAGTCCACGAGTTCAAAATTCACCACCTCATAAAAAAAAATTACTCCGCAATGTTCTTGTGCAAGAACTGAACAAAAAAGACTTCGTCTGCACGTGGTGGGACGTGTTAGTATATAACTAACGATTGTTTGTGTTCGGTATGTTTGATGCAGTTACGTACTTTGAGAACAACAGAGCGGGCATAACGGTTTACGGGTTCATGTTGGACCGGACATCGCTTCACACAATATTCGGCATAGAATTGTCGTTGGTGCTCTGGTTGCTGGGTAAAACCGTGGGCATTTCTTGACTGATCATTCATTCTGCAGAGATTCATGATTCATTCATCCATTCATCAATGGTGAAAGATCAGTCCAACGGGGATTGTAAAGGCTGTATAATTATATTTCCATTGTTTTGTTTTGTTGATTATAATGTATACCCATCATTGTACAACTCTTTTGTTGTTTGATTGTTTAGTGATATAATCTTTTGGAGTTTTGCAAACATGTCCCATATTTTAAGTTGTCTATCTTGTTTATTTATAATGTTTGATTGGAGTTATTTTTAATTTTTTTTGGATGACCTTAAAATATTAAAATTAGAACTTAGAAATTCAAATGCAAAAATACAAATATGATAAATAAGAAATCACATTTATATATGGAGTATAGTTTTTCAAAAGGCTCAAGGATAAAAATACCCGTCACTCGAGTACAAGTTTTTTCCCATACCTATGACTATAATGTAAAAACTAAGAAATATTCATACTAAATATCACTAAAACTTAAGTCATTTCCTTAAATAACATTTAAACGAGTTTATTTTCTAAATAACATTTAATAATGTCTATAATGTTCAGTGATGACGAATATTTATTTGAATAATATCTAATGGATAATGACTAAAAGTGCGACATTGAAAAAAACACATATGATGCTACTTAGAGAAAGTCATTATGTTTTAATGTTATTTAGGTAAATTCTTCAAAACTAAAGTATTAAGGTCGGACAATATGTATTATAGAATAATTTCAAGACTATATAGGTAGGGGTGGACACGGTACGGTTCCGGGACGGTTCCGGTTCCGGTACCGCCACCCCTTGGTACCGGTACCGGTTCCGGTTCCGGTACCGTTTCGGCCACCCCTAATTTTGTTTTTTTTTGCTTTTTTATTATATTTTTAAAATGTAAAATTGTAAATGTGTAATTGTTAAAGGAAATGATGAAATAAAAAAATCTAAAAATGAAATTGATAAAGGAAAGAATGAAATAAAAAAATTAATAACGGTACCGGAACCGCCGGTGCCGGTACCGAAAAATGGGCACCGGAACCGGTACCGGATTGGGCGGTACCGGTACCGGTTCCCGGAACCGGTGGACCGTACCGGCCGACGGTAACGGTACCGAAACAGGCGGTACCGTTTCCGGTACCGGTACTGTACCGGTACTGTGTCCACCCATATATATAGGTCTTGTTTAGTAAATGACAATTGGCCAAAATTTAGGTGGCGTGACTTTTTTAGTTTTTTAACTGAATTAAAATGCAATTTTACATGTTTAAAAAAAGATAAAGAAAAACATACTTCCACCGTTCATTTAAACCCTTCCCATATTGATTTTGGGTCAAAATAAGAAAAGTATAATTTTGTTTGACTTTCCAATTTTACCTCTGATGTGATACTTTAGTTATTACGAAGTACTTATTAGTGAAAAATATGATGTGATATGTAGATTATGAAAATGTAGGGGTAAAAGTAATTTTTAATAGAAAATAGAAACGTTTTAAGGAATTGAAAAAAAGCAAAAGAGGAAAGATGTTATATAAGGGAGTAGACCTGGCAAAACGGTCGGTCAGGTTGGGTTCGGTATAATCGGATTCGGGTTATTTCGGGTTCGGGTCACTTCGGGTTCGGGTCTAAGAGTGCTTGTTCATGACCCAGAGTTATCGGGTTCGGGTTGACCCAACGGGTTAAGAGGCGTATTTAAAAATTAAAAATTTTGCTATTTAGATATCATGTGATCCGAGCATTATTCAAAACAAAGAAAGAGATCATAAAATTTTGCAGTTCTATTTGCAACATACCAAAAGAGAATTGCAATATACCCAAAAAAATCACATTTTTGCAGCATACCAAAAAAACTGCACTAGATGAAAAAAATTGAAGATTCTTTCAACATACCCAAAAATATATATACGTTATAAAAAAATTGAAATTTTTGCATCATACCAAAACAAAAGAAAAGAATTAAAACTTGAGTTACACATAGGAGTAACTGAAGAGGATGAAATAGGATTAAAAATTTCACTATTGTTCTGGTGTCTTCTCACCATTTTGATTGAGTTGGCATCTAATATCAGCGAACGGTAGAAGAGTGGGAGAACTATATATATATATATATATATTACGCCTTTTGAGTTTTGAGTAGCCTAATGGGTATATCATATTTTAAATGAATATATAAAACTAAATAACTAATAAAAATAAACAATTAAGTGCATAACCCGTCGGGTCAAACCCGACCCAACCCGTTCTGACCCGAAAATTTATATGGTCTTCGGGTTCGGATCGTTTCGGATTCGGGTCGCAAAATTAATGTTCAAAACCCGCTAATTTCGGGTCGAGTTTCGGATTAGTAACGGGTCGGGTCAAATTTTGCCAGGTTTATAAGGGAGTGATTATTTTACGGAATAGACTAAAATTGAAAAATACTCTTATTACTGAAGACCAATTTCAGAATTTACACATTTTTATAAGTCTAAAGCAATTAATTTCATCTCAACTGTAAATTTTTTTAGGAGCTCAAGTCTAGAGTACTCCGTAAATACTTGAAATTTTCTGTACAAGAAACATTTATGATTTATTTTTCAAAAAGTAATTTTTTTTTGAAAACTTTCAAAAAGTAATTTGAACGAGGGAATTAGGGAATTTTACTTCAAGCGGTGGAGGGAACAATAATTTCTCCCGGCGGCGATGTACGGCTACGGCGGCAGTTTCAGAAGGGATGATTCAAAGGGGAAGGCGCAAAGCAGAGGAGGTGAGTCGTTAATGGAGATCGAAGATGCTCCCGTTTACCGCTGTTCTAAATCGCACGAGAAGATCTATCAGGAATGGTTCGCCTTGGCCGATTCAGGTTCCCAGCTTCTGCCATCCAATTTCTGTCTGTTTTAGGTTAAATTTTCATCTCAGTTTGACAATGAAAGCAATGGATATCGTTTTTTCAGACGGAGATGGACGGCTCACAGGAGTCGACGCCACAAAATTCTTCGGCATGTCCAAGTTGTCCCGCCAGGATCTCAAGCAGGTTCTCTTACTAATTTTGAGTTACTGATATTTCTACGCAATCGAAGTTTTGTCAGCTCATTTTCATTGCATTCGATTGATACATATTGGTCATCACTGATTTATTTTTATTCTCTTGCCCTAGGTTTGGGCAATTGCAGATTCTAAGCGTCAAGGCTTTCTGGGTTTTAAAGAGTTCATTGCAGCTATGCAGGTTCTGATTCTCTTTGTGATCTTCAGCCTTCCATTTTAGAATTATGATCTCTCTCAAATATTGATTGATTACTGGGATATGATTCGTCAATGTAGTTAATCTCTTTGGCACAAGCAGGCCATGTGGTGAGGGCGACAAATGATTATTCAACAGCTGAAGGTAACTAGTGTATATAGCAACTTTCCTTCTTTCCTCATGATAACGTGAAATCTTTCTGATAGGTAATTCCATACGTATTTCTTGGTTAATTATAAATCAGATTGTTTCCTTATTGTGATCACACCATGGAAAAATTTGCAGTTGATTTTAAAAATTTGGAGCCACCTACCATGGAAGGCTTGGATGTCCTATTGGCTGTAAGTATATTAGATCCACTGTCTGATTGATCTTTTGGTTAACCATGGAAAGGCCTGACTTCTCTAATCATATCACACAGAAGAAAAAACGTGCTTCTAGACATGAACACGAGGGTAAGGCTATATATGTATGTATGTATGTATCAACTTTCACAGGACGGGTGTGTGGGTGGAGATGAATTCCATATCCAATGAATTTGAAATTAACTGTAATTGCCATGTTGCAGGTAGTCCTCTTAGGCAATCTTCTACAGCTAATTGGTTTCAATCACCAAAATCTGCAAAGGTATCCTTTCAAACTTTTGCTACTCTCAGCTGTGTATTTTAATGAAATACTATCAAGGATCTACTAATGAGTTCTTGACCGAATACAAATTCCAATGGTTCGTTCTATGAACTTTTTCCATAATTTAATTCTCTGAAACTAACTCTAAGGGATCTAATTTTTCTAGATATCATGTATGCTTGCCTTTGGAAAAATATTTTGTTTTTTAGTTTTCTAGAAAAGCAAGGCATGCAACTTATTTGTTCACTTTTTTTACGTGACCAAATTGATCTTTGTTTATCCTTAGGACTTTGTTCTAATTCTTAAGAGATGCTTTGTGAAATTTGTAATTCTTGGCTTCCTACTAAATTTATTAAGTTCATACTTTCGAGTAGGGGTATGGTCTGCGTAGACAAACCCCCAGACCATACTCTCATGGGATTCAAGTGGGTTGTTGTTGTTATTGCTGTTTCTTTCTTTTTCATATAATAAGTTTATTCTCTTGCATTGACATTATATTTATTTTGTAATTCGCGTTTCTATAACACTTCATTCCTGGGATGACTTGTTATTTTCTTCCATGTATCTTCTCAGATCTCTTCAACATCGGTTACTTCAATAATTGATGGATTGAAGAGGCTGTACATCAAGAAATTGAAGCCCCTAGAAGTTACATATCGGTTTAATGATTTTGTCTCTCCCTTACTGGTTAGTGAATGTCTTCCACTATGATGTTTTTCACTTTTACATCTTATTCCAAAAGGAGTTATGCATTTCCCTTGTTTATTTCGGGGAAAAAGTTGCATAATTGAGATCTATTTTTATTGCTTATGCATAATTTGGTGGTAGACAAACAGTGACTTTGATTGCAAGCCCATGGTGATGCTTTTGGGTCAATACTCCACAGGGAAGACAACTTTCATCAAACATTTACTCAAGAGTAGTTATCCAGGTTTACAACACCTCAATGTTCATTATTTTCAATTTCTTGTGCATTCACATTCATCTTCTAGTTAATTGGTTGCTGTTCTCATTGATACTCATTATATAGTACATTTGCAGGAGCTCATATTGGACCAGAACCTACTACAGATAGATTTGTGGTTGTCATGGTATGATTCTGTTTTATACATTTTTTTTCTAAATGATAAAGTAACAATGCTAGCTCATGCATGACCACATAGCATTTCCACTAAATCATTCTTGCTTTGCCCCAAAAAAGGTTTCTACTTTCTTTTTTGTTCTAAAAATATATTTTCTTTTTCCTTTTAAGGAAATAATTGTGTGCTTCATTTTATTTCAATTCTCTACTCAAATCTTTACCACACAATTTTCACATTCTTAATAACCACTCCTGATCAAATGCGTAAGCTTTTTATGAGACAAGAGAGCGTGTTGCAAGAACTTCTTTTGGTTGCTAATACAGAGTATTACTGAATCCCTAAATTTCATAGAAAATCAAATTAATGTTCAGTGTTTTCTTGAATAGAAAGATGCTAGAGCGCTATATCAGTCACAAGGTAGTTATGGGTATGAGTGTCACCAAAAGCCTTCTCCATCATGTGCTAATGAACTTTTGTATTGAGTAATTTGAGTTGTTAGTAGCTAAAGTTTGAGGGTTTAATTTCCATTAGATTTATCAGTTGCTTCTTCTCTTTGTGTAGAGCTTTTTTGTACTCTAGGAAATGTACTTTTATGCTCTAATTAACACTCCCATTAGATTTATCAGTTATTTGACAACTCTCATATATTCGGCATTCAGAACACTACTGTCGATATATCTTTTGTAAAAACAGTGTTAATGTTGTTTTTCACAGAATGGGCCTGACGAAAGGAGTATTCCTGGCAACACCGTTGCTGTTCAAGCAGATATGCCATTCAGTGGCCTTACAACTTTTGGAACTGCATTTTTGTCAAAATTTGAGTGTTCTCAAATGCCTCATCCTGTGAGTTACTATCTTCTTTTCACTTCACCAAATATTTTCATATCAACTGATTTTATTCGTTTGCTTCTGGATTTTTGTGTTGTCATTTGTAATGGTCAAAACAAAAAAGCTGTTAGAGCAAATAACATTTGTCGACACTCCTGGAGTTTTATCTGGAGAAAAGCAACGTACCCAAAGGAGCTACGACTTTACTGGGGTAACATCTTGGTTTGCAGCCAAGTGTGACCTCATCTTGCTATTGTTTGATCCTCACAAACTCGATATTAGTGACGAATTCAAGCGCGTGATTTCATCTTTACGAGGCCATGATGATAAGATAAGGGTGGTTCTGAACAAGGCCGATCAAGTCGATACTCAACAAGTGAGACAATCAATGCCTACAAAGTCTTTTTAAGTTTCAGTTGTGATCAACTAATGTTCCATTACCTCTATTTGTTTAGTTATTTCACTTCACTATGTTGTCTATTGTAGCTTATGAGGGTCTATGGTGCATTGATGTGGTCCTTGGGGAAAGTTCTGAATACTCCAGAAGTTATGCGTGTTTATATTGGGTATGCTATCTACGATTTTCTCATTTTGTTGTCTCAGTGGTTAAATTCATCCCATCATGCTTGAACTCAATGTTTTAATGGCCTAAATTTATCCCTTCAAGTAGGATTTTTGGTTGTGTATTGTCTGTGGCATTTGAACTCAAAATGTTCCTTACTTTTGACATTGTATCGAAGTAAGCTTTATTTAAATGTTCAAATAAAAATGTACGCTATCAATGAGGACACATTGTGTGTGTGCACGGCTGCATGCAAACGCAACTGTGCATACATGTACTTTAGCTTGTAAAGCTGAGACGAAGAGTAGAGTCTCTCTCCTTGACCCCTTTACAAGGCTGGTTTGTTGTTTTATATTTAGTCAATGTACAACACTTTTCAACAGTCCTAGAGATCCAATGTTTAAATCCATCTCTAAAAACTAAGGGAAAAGTGTACCATATTATCCTTTGTATTGACCTCCCACTGTGTGGGACCTTTCAACACGGCACGATTCTTGAGCACATGTCCTTCCTATATTATGTACCGGAGTATTATAAAGTGTGTAAGAACTAAGAAGGCAAAAGATGCTAAGTTTGGGTCCTTTGGGATAGAAATAAAATATCTTGGAGCCTATAATTCTCTCAGTTATGAGTCTGCCTTCACTCCACTTTAATTTGAAACCAAGGCTTTGAGTTTTAAAAAGTTTGTTGGTGAGTTTCACAGGTCATTCAATGATAGACCAATAAAAGAATCTGCTGCTGATGGTCCAATGGGCAGAGAACTTTTTGAAAAGGAGCAGGATGACCTTCTGAACGACTTGAGAGACATACCAAAGAAATCTTGTGATCGTCGTGTTTGTTCTAAATTCTCTCTTTCCCTCTTTTTTTCTCTTATTTGCATCAGCGAAAATCTTGAGCCAAAGACACAGTTATTCAAATGCTTGTTTGCTTTGCAGATTAATGAATTTGTAAAACGGGCAAGAGCTGCTAAAATTCATGCATACATCATTAGTCATTTAAAGAAGGAGATGCCTGCTATGATGGGCAAAGCCAAAACCCAACAAAGACTTATTGACAACTTGGAAGACGAATTTGCAAAGGTAAGTCCCCTCACTTCTGACACTAGGGATGACAATCCAACCCGAACCCAACTCGATCTTCAAATATTCAAATCCGACCCAAAAATCAAAACCCAAATTTTTGGGATTGGATATTGCTCATAACTGACCCGCACAGTTTGAGCCGTCATGAAAATAAATGTGAAATATTAGTTTTGACAACTTTGATTCCTTACAAATCATGCATCAAATATTATTTTTGTATAAATGCTATGGACGCCATTGATTAAAAATTAAACTTTATGTATGAATTGGGTCGGGTTTAAAGTTGGGCCTGGTTCAGGCGAAAAAGTCGTACCCGAATATTAAGTCGGTTTGGGTATAACAAAACCTGACCCGAACCCGACTCATTGTTATCCCTAACCCAAAAAAAATCCTATCTCTCGCTGCGATGGATAGGATGCATATGAAAGCTCTGCAATGATTATGTGTTTTCATACAAATCATCTAAACAGGTACAGAGGGAACACCGTTTGCCAGCCGGAGATTTTCCAAGCGTGGAACAGTTCAGGGACAACCTGAGCGGTTACAACATCGACAAGTTTGAGAAAATAAAGCCCAAACTGATACAATGTGTAGACGACATGCTTGGCTACGACATCCCAGACCTCCTCAAGTCTTTCAGGAATCCTTATGACTAGGGAGAGACGCACATCTTAAGGGGCGCGCTGGCTGCGGTTCAAAGGGCGTGTATATTTTGTTGTACAGAAATTGCGACACTTTCACCCCAAGGATGACGTCAAGATTGACACTACAAATCACGCCCGGACACACACTTTAGTGTCTATGGTCTGTGAGAGCGTGACAGTGTCAGCGTAACCTTTGTTGTATTGTGTATAACATTTCTTGACAATCTAACTGGGCAGTCGTTACTCTCTGTATTAGGTACACAGCCATTGAAAAAATGTTTGAAGAGAAGAGACGTTTATGGCGGCCCGTTTAATGTTTCATTAATTTTCTTTTTACCAAGAATCACTTGTGTTTTTGGTGTTTTAGCCTGACATTACATGATAAGCACACCAGAAAACCTAATAGACAAACATTATGCAACAAAAAATTGGGATGGAGTAAATGACATTACATTCAATTACTACCACCCTCCCATAAAAATCTTACTCTCCCTTTCTTAAAAAGATTTTATTTATAAATTGGTATGAAAATAAAAAAATGACTTAAATATTTAATAATCACAGCAAAAAACTTTACAAAATAAATAGTGACATGTCTATTTTATTTTATGAAATGATCAATGAAATTTTTTATGCAAACAAATGCAGTGGCGTATGGAGCCTAATTTGTTAGGGACTAATGCCTCCAACTAAATTTATGTTGTAAGGTAAAAAAGAACAAATTTAACTTTATGTATATGTGTTCTCAACATAAATTAATGAGACCTCATATAATTAGGCTAATTTATTTTTGTTTGTTTATTTTTTTAGTAAATTTTATTTATTGCCTATTAAAGAAGTTTCACACTCAATATACACTTGAAATAATATTTACTATTATTTTTAATTTCATATTGCCTACCTGGATGTTGCCCTCGGATCCCCGACAAATGGTGCCCCCATCTAACTGGATCTCTGGGTCTGTCACTGAACAGATGTTATAAACAACCCCGAACAGTAACTAGGCCAAATAATTTAGGATGAGAGTATGTGTTTGATAAATGATTTTTAAGAGGTTTTAAAAAATATAGAGTATCAAAAACATAAAAAGAAAAGAATCACTCAAATAAGAGCAAAATATAGCTCTTATAGCTAAAATAAGAGTGATATATTTTTAGCATCAAAATAGAATTGTATGATATTGTATAGTAATATTCTTTAGGTTTTTTTTGCCATTATATGTCAGTATTATTATTGTTGGCATTATAAGCCTTATTTTAGAATAGACCTTTCATGTTTTAATCCTATTTAGTACTATTTTAATCCATGAATATTTGTTTAGTTTTGACTTTTTTGTAATAATTTATTTTTCAATTTTGACCTATAATTAAATAAATATATATTGTATATTAATTAGATAAAATAATATTTTCAATTTTTTTATAAAATAAATCAAGTAAATTAATATTTGTATCATTATTCAATATCACTTTCATTTAATTTGAAATCAAAATTTACCTATTTTGATAATAAAAAAAAATCAAAAGTAGATAAACAGAGAATATGTACTCTTTTCCAACGAACAACTTGAGGAACAATTGCCAAGGGTCCCAAAAAAAAAAATACCGCAGACGCCAATCTCAGGTACTCGGCAATCAATCGTTCCTCGTATCTGCAACTCCTAAATCTCCCCTTCTCCGGAATCTCCTTATAATCGGCTTCTTCTTGTCTCTTCCCTTTCTTTGCTCCGACCACCGTAACACCGCCGTCAATGCTCTGGCCTTTCTTTGAACTGGGTCTGGAAGACTGACTGGGATTCGAGGTGCATTCAAGGTGTTCGATAAAATGCCCCTGACGGCTCCAGCCTGAAACAAACAAAGACCTCGCCTTTTTTTGCAGTAAAGATTTGAGTTTGAAATCTAAGATACATTTATTGAGTAACGATTTCTTCTTCAATGCAGGGGATCAGAGATTTTTTAAGAAAACAAAGGAAGAAGAAAAATGGTGGCTCCAAAGATGATGAGGGGCTTCGTTGCGGAGAACCCAAAGAAGCTGGGGAACTTGATTGACATTGTTAATCTCCCTTCCACGCTGAGAGATTTCATGGGACACTCCCAAACCTCCCGCCTAGGTTGTTTCGTCCGCATTTGGTCTTACATCAAGGACAACAATCTCCAGGTAAACTCACCATCTTTGGGTTTCATATGATTTCATCGTTTTTTTCTGCCAAAAGAAAGAACACAAAACTCATTCCCGATATCCATATCAAAATATGCACCGAAACCCGATATCTTCAACCTTGATTGCCCTGTTTTTCCCCTTTCAAATATGATCAATCTGCCTCTTTGAGACGTTGGTTGTCATTTGATGGTACGTATGATCTTTTGTCTTCTGAAGGATCCAAACAACAAGAACATCGTCAACTGCGACAAACAACTGAAGAGCGTGCTGTTGGGAAAGTCGAAGGTTGATCTGTGCGAACTTCCTGCCCTCGTCAAGTTGCATTTCCCAAAGCGCCACCCGAAATGATCAATCACTCGCCATTGCCGTATATATTACGGAGTGCTACCAAAGAAGTGATCTTGATTATGGTGGAGGAAGATTGATTCATTTTCAAGTCATTACCAGCTAGTATTTGTTGTAAAAGAAAGATTGGGAAATGCTCTTTAACCCGAGGGGTGATACTAAATCTTTTACTCAATCACGCAGAGAATAATTATTGTATGTGAGGCATCGGTAAGGTTCTTTTGACATCAAGCACCGACGTCCTAGCCCATTTCGGGCACCTACGGTGCTAGTTCCTACCCATATGACATCAAACAAAACTTATTGTCATAAGAAACGCATCAATGAGGCATTTATTTTCTTAGCATCTTCTTTTACTTCATAATTTCTTGAAAAGAGTGTTATGCCCTTGATATAAGAAAACATGATTAAGGCTGGCTCTGTCTTTTTCGGTTGGAATTATAAACTTGGATGTTGGAAAAACCTAGAAAGAGTTGAAGGAACTGGAAATAGTTGAAAAATGTTATAATGCATTTAAAAATCATTCAATTAAATGATCACTCAAATAAATATCTAAGAAAACTAATTTTGGATATAAAAAAGAATTCATTTTTATCCATATTTGAGGTATAATGTTGTAAATTTAGATATATACTCCTTCCATCATTTTTAAATCACCCGTTTTGACTTTGGGGCATATTTAAGGAGAAAAAAAATAGAGTTGACTTTCCGAAATTGTAATCACTTTTTAGGAAAGGTGACAATGAATGAGAAGATAAGGTGGAAAAGAATGACTTATATTAGGGGTAATTTAGGTATTTTACTCTTAAAAGTTTACGATAACAAGAAACATGCAACTTATTTTGGGACGGAGAAAAAAGAAAAACATATAATTTAAAATGTAACAGAGGTAGTAATATTATTGTATAGTCATCCTATGTAAATATGCTTTTTAAATCATTAGAAGAAACTGAAAGTGTTAGAAAAAGTTAGAAATTATTTTTTTCTAACCGAGAAGACCAACATTGTATCCCTACCTTTTGTTTCCAAAGTCAAACAAAAGGTAATTATTCCTCTCATTGAATATTCCAAAAAACATTTCTCAACTTATTTCTTTTCTTTCAGTACTGAACATGTGGCTCGTAATATTACTCTCTTATCTAAACAACTCCAACAATATATCTTTCATTTTTTAATATTTTTCTTAAACCCTGTGAAATTCAAGTTGAGTAAAGTCTTTTGCGATGGGAACAGTATATACTCAAAAAGTTACTACTACTAACTAAACAATTGTATTCTGAAAGAAAAAAAACCTACTTACACAAATGCTTTGTCAACTAAACTATGAATGATGACTTCTAGGACTGACCACTTGATGGACCACTCGGGATCCCGCACTCGAGTATGGCCCCACCATATTCGTGTGGGGTACGGACGTTTCTCCCCGGGCTAGGGATTCCACATTCTCGAGTAAGTACCGCATTGGAAGGTGACCGACAACATTACCCTGCTCGTTCCCGTCCTTGTCGAGGAATGCAAAATGAGGGATGCCTTCAACTCCAAACTCATCAAGCTCTTGTTCCCACTTTGTGTTGTCCACATTCAGCATTACGAAATTCACTTTGTCCCTGTTTATTTAAGGAGTGTAATGCAATAAATAGCCCACTTAATCAATTTTTGTCCGAACCGTCCTAGGGGTACCCAGGGATGGGGTTTAAACAGACATTGAATTAAAAAATGGAACTTGAAGCAGTAGCACATTATTTATAAAAATGAACTTTCTAAAAAAATTACTCCGTAATAAATATGGAATATAAAGCTGGGTTGAAGTTGGTAGGCTCTTCTGTTGAAAGGTTGAAATAAAATTACTTGTATTGCTGTTCAGCTGTGTACACGTCTCGAGCTAATTCCTTACAAACTTCACACCAATCTGCGTAGAACTCAACCACAGTAGGCTTCCCATTTGAAAGGGCCTTTGCAAACACAAAAGAAGTAGTATATTATAAAAAGACTAAGAAATCTTGTTTCATCTCATGTTACATTTTCAAAGGTAAAGTCAAACATAAAAAATAACTTCCATTCGCTTTTTTCCCCATTTCCATGACATTTTCCGTGATCACAACATACCCTAACACTCTATTTGGTTCAAGGAATACAGTGGGGAAAACTGGAACAGAAAAGGAATTAGTAGGGAAAAACAAATTTGCTGTTTGGTTAGAAAGGAAAAGAAAAGAAAATTGGGAGTAAAAGAAAAGGTGGAAAAAATGTAAAGTAAATATGGAAATATGATTTTCCTTGTATTTTTTTTTTGAGGAAAAGGAGAAATACAGCAAACTCTTCTTCCTCGTCCCAACATTGCCCCCCCCACCCCTAAACCATTTCTTCCCCTGCTTCATCTATCAACCAATCAAAGGAATGATTTTTGTTTTTCGTTTTTTCGCTTTCTTTTCCTTTCCTTAGCATTTTCATCTCCTTCCTAATTCCCCGAACCGAACATAGTGTAGATGGTGAAAACTTTGAAACACAATCTGCTCTATTCATACACAACAGATGACAAACCTGCTCAAAAGGCATAGCAGCAGCAGATAGATCTTTTAAAGAGACGCCTAAATCGAGTCGCCGTGACAGAAAAAGTGCCACTGCTCCAAATCCAGATATCAGTGCTACCCTCCTATTGAAATTTCTGTCAGGATATGCAAGAAGCCCACCAGTGTCTTTGGAGGAACCTGGAACTTCACTGCTGGCAACACCATTGCTAGAGGAACCAGGCTCTGTACAAAGCTCTTCTTGTTCCTTTTGCACACCCATCAAAGAGTTAAAATGAAAACATTTCATGCCCATAAGAGACATTATGTATAATTTCAATAACAAAATTGTGAGAAAAGCTAAATAAAGACTTCAAGCTTTAGGCCAATGAATCACCCTGGTCTAATTGTCTAACAACTCGCAAAAAAGGGAAAGTTGAAAATTCACTTTGTACTCACACGAATAGTTTAACACTATGTTTGGTTCAAAGAATTTGAAAGTAAAAGAAAAGAAAATGATTTTTCCTCATTTTCCTCACCAAATGGGAGGAATTTGGTTTTCCCTTCTCTTAGTCAAACTCAATATCTTATGAACTATGGCTTTTAAATCTTCCAAGATAAACTTCTCATGGAGTTTAGGGTAGAATTCATTCAAATGGTTCATAAAACACTTGGGCTAAACCATTCTTTGTTTTTCCAATGTGAGATACTTTAACATATTACTAACCATATATTATCACTAATGAATTTATACTTGCAACAAATGAGTAAAAAAGGTAGATTCAAACGAAATCAGGTGTGCTCAATCTACTTACAACTCAGTTTCACACAGTGAATAAATCACAAAAATCCTTCTAACACGCATAAAGAAGCGATCTGAATCACAATAAACGCAAGAAATAGTAAACAGAAAGAGAGGGGACGGAAGATCGCAAACCTTTTCTGCAGATTCAGATGTTTGACAGCACTCCGCCGGATTACGATTAGGGTTCGTCTGGCAAAATATCCGGCAACGAAACCTGCGACCGCCGCTCTGACGGAATTGGGGACGGAGGGTTTGAAGGCGGGGAGGAGTTGTGCGGAGGTTGAAATGAAGCGGGTGCAATCTGCGGAGATTGACAGGGGTAGTAACTACCAGCGCCATGGCAGAAAGATCGTTATCTCATCGCCATGGTAAGTTTTTAATACTCCCTAAGTTCTATACGGAATTCATTTTTCTTGAAGAATTCTAGCTCACCATCTTTTATTTTTCAATAATCTTTTCAACATTTATGAAGTAAAATTATGAAATTTATTACCAGACCAAAAAAAAAACATTAAACATTGTGAATGGAGGAATTTCTCCCCTAGCTTGACAGTCTGAAGTCCACTCCTCAGGATTCATGGGAAAATTCAACCAAACTCGAGCCCCAACAAAGGCAAAAAGATTGGTTCTTTGTGCGTAATTAGACTAAAAATAATATGAACAGATACTACTTTGTAATATAGTCAATAACATTCAAAAAACTTGTGCTTAGAGAAGGTTTTAAATTTGAAATTTCAAATAAATAAATAAAGAATACTTTGCGTGTTATTTTTTAAGACATAAATATACAGAGTATTAATTTATACAGATTAACATCCAAATAAGAGGAAATGTTTAAGAAAATAAAATGGGAATGTCATGAGAATAAAAAAGCGAATAATGTCATTGTTAACTACACTCAAAAAAATTTGAGCAATCACAAATTCAATATTACTCCGATTGTCTCAAAACAAAGTTCCTAACAATTTACCATGTTTGACTGAATTTATTTTAAATCAATATAAGTAAAACTTGGTGTAAAAATTAAAACTAAAAATTATGTAGTAAAGAATTACATCAAAAGTACTACTTCCTTCGTCCCAAATTATAATGTCTGTTCACTATTCACAGAGTCAAACTTCATTTATTTTCTTTCTCTATTTTCATTAACAATTTGATAAAATAAAATACTATTGTCACTACTAGTTTTGTAGATCTTTTGATGTAGTATTTTAATATGTAATTTTTATTTTTTAACTATATACCATTTGTCATAGAAAATGATTTGAAAATAATTTCAGTCAAACATCATAGACCGAAACAGACGTTATAAAATGGGACGGAGAGAGTACAAAATAAGTGATGACAAAATTATTATTTTTTTTAAATGATCAATGAAAATGTATAAATAAAATATTTAAGTAATTAGTTTGACCTGTGAATAATAAGCGAGATCATAATTCCATCTATTAAAAGTGCTTGGTAAACATTATATTTGGTACAACCTTGTCCCAAGAAGCTTCATTTTTTTCTTTCAAAAAGAACATTTTTGACCTACATGTTTATGCATTAAAAATACTCTAAACAACCGAGAAAAATAATTCATTTTAGGATACATTTTAGACAAAAATAGCCAACACAAATATCTACTCCAATAACCAACACAAGCATAATTTAACATTTGAAGAATGCCAATAAAGATGATGACCAAGAAGAATAGATGAATAATTTACATATACCAGTTCAAATAATTTGTACATGTATTTACATTATAGTACTACAAACTCTAAATTTTATACTGCTTCTGAACCCAAATTACACAGAATAAGATGTGTGGAGCACAGATACAAAAAAAATAATGAAAATGAAAAAAAAATTACCCATATGATGATGATGCTGCTGCTACAAGTGAAGAAAATTTACCCAAAGAACAAGACAGACACCAAACCTAATAGAAAAAGTTTACTTTACACTTTCACGGTTGAATGCACCGTGAATTTCTACATCACAATGTGTCCTTGTGATGCTGCTGCTGCAGTAAAAATTGCCCGGCCAGTGGGGAGGTTAAAGTTTTTGACGGGGGCCACATCGCTGCATATTGTGATCCAGGAATCGGAGAAGAAGATTTGAGCGTCCCGGAGCTCATAACCATGGAAAAATGGCAGATGATATCCCATCTCCAGCCGCAAGTTCACTAGTGGTAGCACCACAGTCTTCAGCAGGGTGGATGCTACTCTCTGAAAAATAAATTCATCGATTCATTTCGTTCATTCATTCAATTTGGACCAGACAGTTGACACAAACAGACATATTTTTACTGTTTAGCCTGCATAACCGTGACAAAATATGTGGGCTGTTTTCATATTTGGCTAACATATCGGGGTCAATGACATTAAACTTCAGGAAATGGTATTTTGACACCATGACGGTGTCTCACGGACACGCCTAGACAATAACGGTCTTTGCAGGACTATTTGTGACACAGATTGGTGTCATCCATGGTTTCATAATTGCATGACCCTTAAACTTAGTGTCAATCAACACCAGCATTAAATGGGAAAAGAAATGAGTGATTCACATTATTTCTCGCTGCTTTGCATAAACTTCCAACATACAATTTCATTTTTCTTTAACTCCTTGAAAAAGCAAAAAAACTCCTTTTAGGTTAAGGACGGAGGAAGTATCCGACTAGGCATCGCCACAAAAGATTATGTTTGTCTTTCATCAAGCTGAGGACTATGGGTGGATGAGGCAACGTACTTACCTGAACAAGAAACAAGTGGAGATTGCCAATGTTGCTCCATTTCAAAGCCATGGCAATGTTATCTAACTTGACACTGCCTGCCACACTGCCATTCGACACCGCTGCAAAAACCCATCCGTTGATTTCCTGTAAGCAACCCATCAACCCCACACATGACCACAACCCATAATAAGAACACTTTGATTGAGCAAAATATTGAAGTAACCACATAATAGCACGAACAGAGTAGAATATTTTGAGGGTTTTCGAATAAATCAAATGAAGGGAAAAAAGGCTTACCACTGAAATGCACGCAACAGGTACGACTTCACCCTGATGTTTGACATTTATGATGATATCAGCAGGAATAGTCGCGTACATCTTCCGTTCTTCAATGTTGACACTCGGCGTTGAGGTTACGGAAATATTCAGGCTCATGTCATCATTAGGGTATTGTTTGTACAGCTTGGGGACAATGAACCTCCACTCAGCAGTGTTTAGTAGGGACTGGTCAGGTACTTGATCCACAACCCACTGCATCTTATCGGCCTGATGAAACAACATTTTAGGACTTGAGTCCCCCCCAGCATGCATAAATATGCTTCTTGATTAGGGAAAAATATGAACGAAGCAAACTAAGTAATATTCAGTCAATGAACTAAATCAGGTAATAACTCTATAACTTGGTAAGATTATAGATCAAGTAATGGTCTTCATGCATGTATTCTTGAAAAATTATTTTTTTAAATATTAGCAAAGCAATAACCCATGAATGAACTTTAAGTAGATTATGAATTACTCACAACCCTACCTTGAAATATACAGACAACACCGACTTAATGACATTTTCGTGCAAGAACATTGTAACCATTTCATTTGAATCCTTGCAGACAATGGAAGGTGACTGCTGCCCACGGTACATACTTTTATCTGAATCACCAAATAAACCACTGATTGCAAGTGCAACAGAAGAATTGCTAATCACCGGATCCCCAACGAAAGTGGCATTCATAGAAGCAATTTTGGTGACCTGAACTTCCTTGGGAAGAGACCGCAGAACCGAATCAAGCTTCAAAACACCATCTCCTATTTTCTTTGTGATTGCATCTTCAACGGTAGAGATTAGTTTACCTTCAAAGGCATCTAGAACCCTAGCAGGAAAAGGGACTGACCATCACATCTAAGCCCACCATGAGGGAGAGGAAATGAAACTATGAAAGCTGGCAATAGTATAACCTGCTTCAATATATAGAGTCATGTTGAACTAGGTATAACTTAATTCAACATGTCTCTATAGTGCAGAATAGATCAACTCTGATTGATAGTACTACTCTCTCAATGTACCCGAAAAAGATTCCACATTTCTTGCTTGGTTATCTCATACTTCGTAATAAGGTTCCACTTTTATTCTTAACTAAAATTTGTGTGGTTCATATTATTTGTCTCTTCTGCATAACTCTCAACCACAAAATATCACATCTCTTAGTAACCGTACCGGACCAAAGGTAGAACATAATTCAAGGGCAGAGGGTATGTGTTTTACTTTATTGAGCTGCTAAATGACGACTTATTTATGAACAAAATGCATTTTTATAGACACTATTTTGAGAACAGAGGGAGTAGAGATCTGAAGAAGATAAAGAGCATGATAGTACCCTTGATATAGCCAAGAAGCTCCCCCATCCAAGGTCACAGAAATATCTTCCACAAAGCATCCACATTCCAGAAGAGAGAGTGAAAGAGATCCATTTTTATTTTGCAGACTGAGAGTAAGAGCGATTTCCATACCTTCAACCTTTGCAAAACCAACAATAACAAACTCAGTAAAATCTCACAAAGATTAGGGTACGCAAGCCTTATCCCTACTTGGAAATAATATTCCCAAATTTTACTATGAACTCAAAAGTGTAAATAGGAAAAAACAAATAGACATCACTTTGCAAATACAAATCCTTCCTACATGTTAGTGGTGAATGCTCATTCCATCGTCCAAATTAACTCTTGGGTTTAACTAGATTAATCAAAATTTAACCTGTTTGTATCAAGTTTCTTCTGCAAATTATATGAAAAGTTAGTCCCTTTGGTGAAACATGAATCTTTTTTTATTCCTGAGCAGAAAGAGCACTTCATTTAGGCCCCTTTTGGAATGAGACACTCAAAGTGCTTGGTTACATTCATTTCAGCCAACAGAAATAAATCCTAGCGAACCGAACCTTAAACTCGAATTTGCAAAGATTAATGAACCAACTCAACCAAAAGCCCAGAAAGCCCAGAAAATATTTATACTACAGGGACCCATACCTGAACAGAGGCATCTCCTTCATCAGTGACAGTAACAGGAAGCAACCAAGTGTCATAGGAATACTTCCACTTCATAGTCATATTGCCAGTGGCACCAGAAACAGCCATAATGATGCAAGAATTCCCAGTTCTAACAGTGGACGAATTCACATCAATCCTGTCTATAACAATATCAGAAAGAAGCATCTCAACTTTCCCCACGACTGGGATGCTCACAGATTTCTTGATCTCAGGCAGCTCAAGTGGCACCAGCGAAGATTCCGCAGTTTCAACCAATAGATTCTTGGCAAAATCCAGACCCTTGTTGGATATTTCCACGGAGATATATTCTCCGCTGGAATTTGGCTGAGAATTCGAAGGAGAAATAAGAAGTACAAGTAGAGATGCTAGCATCGAAAGGGATGCAGCCATGGAGATAGCTAATTACAGAGCTGATTCAACAAGAATATGGTAAAAGATCCGACTTTTCGGAGGTTTTTCTGGGCGGTGGATGATTGGGAAGATTTATACGATTGATTTGATTGGCAAATATTAAGCAAAACCACAACTTTGACAGGAGTAACGCTAGAGTCACAAATTACTGGGACACAAATTACACAAACTTAGCTATTTTTGTACTTTTCCACAAACATCCATTTTTTTGAAGATACAATCATCAAAAAAAATACGGAGTACTAAATACTACTATTAAACAACAATCTTTATATCTTTATACATTATAAACTTTAATATTAAGGCTTTCCAAATAAAGAGTATTCTTTGTTTGGAAAGCCTAAATGTTGAAGTTTATATTGTGTAAAGATACAAAGATTGTTGTTTATTGAATAATATTAGTGACACGTATCTAAAACTACGAGCCCTAAAGTGACAAAAAGTCAAAATATCTACCATCTAATAACATAATTAAGCTTAAGCCAATTCATGTTAGTGAATTTTTAATAGAAAATAAAAGTATTTTGATGAGAAAGATTAAAAATAAAAGAGGAAGTGTTTTCGAAACAAAAGAAGTATAAGAATTTGATATATTAACTTCCACTTTCACTTTTTCTATCCCAATGGCACTTAGCTTCTATTTTCAGTTAATATCTATTTTAGTGTAAGAGTAAGGCACCGTTTGGCATCAGCGTTAGAGATTAGCGTTAGCGTTTTCAAAAAGCTATCCGACGATAGCCTTTAGCGTTAGCGTTTTTAGATTTAATCTACACCATTAAAATTTTATCCAAAACGCTAACGCTAATCGAAAACGCTGTTACCAAACGAAGCCTAAAAGTGTCTTTATTTTATTATATTTTTTCTCTCTTCATTTTCTCTTCAATTTCTACTCGTCCAAACAAGAATTTTTTTCTTTTCATTTATCTCCAATTTCTTTCTTCTGATTTCTTTTCCTCTAATTTTTCTCATTCCCTTAGAATTTTTTAAGGGTTGAAAAGTTGAACTAAGATAATAATTTGATAAGTAAGAATCGATCTTTAGTAGAGAGCATGATTGTCGTTCAATTACTCTTCTTTTCATTCTCTCCAATATATTTCCTCTCAATTTCTCTCTTCGTCCAAAACAAATGCTTAAGGATGAACCCCATTTCTCATAGTTTTCTAAGGATAGATAGGTTGAGCCGTGATCATAATTTGACAAGTAGGAATCAATCTTTAGTAGATAGAAGAACATTATCTTAGCATTGGTAATTCGTCTCACTTGCCAGCCAGGCTACGCCCACCGACATATCCAATACTATTCCATGTTTGTCGTAGATGTTGTTAAGAAAAAACGACATTAAAAATGGTATCAAAATTGGAGTACCTTAAACATAGCCCTACAAATCAATATTCTTCCAGTTTTTTGTTTTTTATTTTTTTTGTTTATCTCAATATATTTGTATTACTTTCATTCTTATGACAATTTTGAAGTTTGGGATGACAGGCTCATTAGCACTCTGAATAATACCCCATAATAATAATAATAATAACAATAATAATATAATAATAATAATGTATATCTTACAATTGCATGAATGACATATGAATATGCCTCAGGCAGAAAATGTATAAAGGGGAAGAAAAACCTTCAAAAAGAAAAAAAGAGGTCAAAAGAGGCGATTTCCGCGATGAGGCCACCTGACAGTAGAAGGGGCTGTGGTTGACGAAGCTACACTCTCTCTGCCCTTTGCAGCCCCCCGGGGATCGGACAGAAGAGCCTTCTGGAATGACTGTGGGAACCCCGTGGCTATTATAGTCACATGGATTTTCCCTGTGTAGCGCTCATCCACAACAGCTCCAAAAATAATGTTAGCAGAAGGATCAGCAAGACTGGTCACAACCTGGGAAGATAAATGATAGTACTTTAGACATAATTTTATTTGTAGAACTACTAATTTTATTTGTAGAACTACTCGAATGTTAGAAGAAAGTGACAAGAATGCATGAATTTCCATGTCCAACGGCTGGGATGAATGTGCTGTTTATCTTTGATGAACCAATGATCAGACACCAAAGATTTGTAGGGCTACGTGAGTGTGCTGTTTGGTCGTTTTGGTCTTCAAAAATACCAAGACGGGAGAATACCAAACCCGACTAACAAAGAACACTCACAGACACACACGGGAGAATACCCACAACATGATACACATACCTGAGAGACCCTATTCACTTCTTGCAACGTAATATCTTTTCCTCCGGTGATGTTATATACTACTCCAGTAGCAGATTGGATAGAGGACCCAATCAAAGGAGAATGAGTTGCCTGTTCTGCAGCCTCTTCTGCACGGTTCTTGCTAGACGAGACTCCCACTCCAAGCATTGCTGTTCCCGAATCTTTCATTACTGCCTTCACATCTGCAAAATCAACATTTACAAGCCCGGGTATCTGCAACAAAAAGAACGCAAAATAATTACTCCGGAGTACTCAATGAAGCAAGCTATAAGCCATATATGATGCTATTTAAGTGTGAGACCCACTGTGATTAAATCAGAAATTCCTTGGACACCTTGGCGTAGTACATCGTCGGCAAGACAAAAAGCATCCTGAAGGGAAGTCTGCTCATCAGCAATGTCCAACAAACGATCATTAGGGATCACTATAAGAGTATCAACGTTTCTTTTAAGCCTCTCGATAGCTTCCATAGCCTGGATAGTTAGACCACAAGACAGACAAGAATATAAATTTCATGCCAGATTAGATGTTTCTTCATGCGTGTGTCTGCATTAAGGGGAATGTTGGATCTCATAAAATGCAAGGGAAAGAGGAAAAGTTTTTTTCAAGTTTCTTTCTTGCTTACGTTTGATTTACCTCGGAAAAAGAAAAAGAAATATGGTTATTTAAAAAAAAAATCCACATATTTTATAGTAATGGTGATCCAATTATTAAATTTTCTAGACCCCTACCATATTACTTTTTTTTCTAATGATAACAATAATATTAAAAACAGCAACAACAACAATAAGCCTCTACCGCTTGAGCATCCTCCTCTAAAGAAGCGATGCAAAATTACTTCTGCCGACTTCATATTGACGTTCTCCTTTGTTCACCTTAGGCCCAACACCAGACTTGGCACTCCTCAGTTGATTTTCATTCATCGACAAAAGTGTAGAATGGGTGGAAGAAATTGTTCTTGTTAAGAAAAAAAACATATCTCTTAACATGTTTTGACAACTGCTTGCTGCCCTTAGGTAGTTTTAGTAAAACCGCTCCCGCGTTATTCTGCTTAATCTGCAAACAAATGTAAAAATTAGGGCCGATTTTTTCATCTGTTTGCAGATTAAGCAGAACAATGCGGGAGCGGTTGTAGTAGGACTACCTAAGGACTATCTCTGTCAAAGTACGTTAGGAAATGTGTTGATGTTCTTAACAACAATTTCGCCCACCTAATCTACACATTTGTTGATGAATCAAAATCAACGAGGAGTGGCAAGTCTGCTATAAGGCCTAAAGCGAATAAGGAGAAGGAGAATGTGGATATGAAGTCGGCAGAAATAATTTTGCATCGCTTCTTCAAAGAAGGATGCTGAGGCAGTAGAGGCTTATTATTATTATTATCATTATGATTATTATTATCATCATCATACTTTCTTGGTGTATTTATTTTAGAAAAAAAATTGTAATATGGTAGGGATCTAGAAAATTTAATGATTGGATCACCCTTACTAAAGGAACTATGACAGATCTACCTTAGTAGATCTGCCTATGCTAATGAGTGGTGATTGAACAATAACAACAACCCAGTAGGATCCCACGAGTTTAGGGTCTGGAGGTGATTGAACAAATATCGAAAATAAATTGACTGAGTTGTTCCTCCAATTTTCTTTCCTTTCCAGTTATGCTCTCAATTTTCTTCCCTGATTCCCCCTAGTATTTTCTGTTTTCCAAGCATAGCCCAAGTATCCATGGTTTGGGAGGATAAACAAGAAGGTGAAGAAGAATGCACATCCCAAATATATTTCCACTCCTCCCAAAAAATTCTTCCTTCAGATTTTCCCTCTATTTTCTTTCCGCTAGCATTTCCTGGGTTCCAAATGAACTCAAGTATCCACGGTTTAGAAGATTTTACATCCCAAACTAAATTGGAATTTATTTTTTCAATTAATTGAGAGAGAAGTAAAAACAAAGGCACCTGCCTGTAATGCTCTGTTGCGACCTTCAAAGCTGAAAGGATAGGTAACCACCCCAACAGTAAGATAACCAGCTTCTTTTGATATTTGTGCAACAACTGGAGCAGCACCGGAGCCTGTACCCCCACCCATTCCTGCTGTTACAAACACCATGTCTGAACTCTTCAGTGCATTTGCAATGGTTTCCTTTGATTCCTCTGCTGCTTGTTCCCCCAAAAGAGGATTACTACCTGTGCCTGCCCATCACCAAGAAAAAAACCACAATATATGAGAGTATACTTGGTCCAAATTAAATACAACAACTTTAGTCCTAGACAAATTCAATAACCAAGAATAACTATTAGACTAGATCACTAAATAACTTCTAAATAGTCTTTTTCTAATTATTTAGAAATTTACTAATCCTCCTACGAATAATATGAATCCTAATTAATCTCAGAATCGACTCCTTCAATTCCTCGTTGTGTTATTCGAACTAAATAGCACTAAAATTTAAGTTATTTCCACTAATGGATAATGACTAAAAGTGCTACATTGGAAAAAAACACATATGATGCTATTTGGGGAAAGTCATTATGTTTTAGTGCTATTTAAGTAAATCCCCCATGTGTCTAGTCCCTTAGTATGTGTCATAAGAAAATAAAACTATACAAAGATAGACATGAAGGTTAAACACTTCTCCCATGAGAAAACAAGAAGGCAAACACTTCCAGTCAAATAAATAAACTAGTGTATGTGTCCAAGTATTCGAATGCAGATGGATATTGAGGCTAGAAGATCCAATATCATTCTATTGGGATTCTTAATGAGAAAATTCCATAAATAGAAAACTCTACACAGATAGATTTTGGGAAAGAGAGAATGCTCACCCAAACCACGAGTCAGAAGCTCTCCAATTTGAATTGGGTTCTCTGCAGCAGAAAGCAGTAGCGCTTGAGCATCGGTGTTAATGGCATAAAAATCAACACCCTGCAAATTGAAATCCAGTATAACCCTTCATTGAAAGAACTTTTGGCACTTTGACATTGTTTTCGGAAGTCCCATCACCTATACTAAACGAGTAAAGTCTCTTAATGCATTCTTCGCTTCTATACATTTTCATTTCTATGATGGATGAGGAAAGACAACCTATTGGCTGATAGTATCATCTTCATAACTTCACCTAAACATTTGTTTTAAAAATCAAGGACGGTAACATGAACTATGAGTAATTAAAACTCATTCGCTCAAACCATTTATTACCATATAGCATTCCAACAGAAAATTGGGGAAGAAGAGGTAATGACCTAACCTGCAAGCCGCTATTGATCATGCGATTAACGGCATTGTTGCCGCCGCCGCCCACACCGAGGACCTTAATCTTGGCGGAGGCGGAGGCGGAGGGGGGATGATAGGAACTGCGAGCGCACAAACAGTGTCGTACAGAGAAGCTCCTTCCCCGCGGGCCAGGCGAAATGCGTTGTCCGGAGATGAATGGAGATGGAGTGTTCTTCTGAAGAAACCCTAGTGGACTCCACAAAGACGATGATAGCTCTGCTGCATTACCTAATCCAGGCCGAGTAGCCATTTTTTCCCTTGGTCTTCTTCGTTTTTTTATATTTTGAAAGTTCAGCAGCTCTATGAAGCTGTGGTAACCAAAGATAGCATATTTCTATGTGGTAACCAATTTTAAGGGATAGAATTGAAAGGGTGACCATCAATTTTACAAAAAGAATACCGAGTAGATGTTCAATCAAAATAGTCGTAACAATATTTGTTTGTCTTAAGAACATGAGACTGTATGACATTTTATTTTATGACAGACAAATTTGTAAATAAGCTTAAGATTCATAGTTATTTTTCATTTAAAGCATTGACAAAGTATTGGTTTGCTTTTTACTCCGTAAGAAAATAAAAATTTGTGTAGAATATTCATATGAATCTTTTGAATTTTAAGAAATCAATGTGAACATTTTAATTTTTGAAAAAATTATTTTGCTTTTTGCATTGTGTTTACTTCGAGTGATTACCTTGAAAAGAAAAAAAAACCAATGAAATTCAAAATTGTACGGAGTAATTTTGTTTGGTCAGTAGAGAAATTGGCAGGAAAAATACTTTTCTATGATTTCTATATTGAGCGGGAAGTACTGAAGGGAGGGAACGAAGAAAAGAGAAAGAAATTAAGTGATTGGAAATAAATTGGTAAAAAATATTATTTCGAACCTTGACTAAAAAAAGTCAAAATGTGAATTTTTTTTGAGATAGAAGTAGTATAATATTATTGTGAGATTCAATCCCAAAACCAATTGTATAAGGGAAGAAGGAGGAACTCATATTCAATGTAGGACTTTATATCATCAACACTTTGCCACTACTGTTTCTCTCAAGAAGAACTGATAATAAAACAAACCATATAGAAATGAAGCAACTGTTGTGTCTACACATGTGACAATCATTATTATTACAAGTTCTTCTGATGCAGTCCCTCAACAAGGCCCCAACATATTTTGTCTGCAATCTTTCAATCTCTTCCCCATCAACAATACAGGAGAAAAAAAAAGTGGCCTTAGAGAAGGAATGCATAGGCTTTTGTACATACTTCTTCAATCCCCTTCACTTAGGATGGGAACAATGAGTGGCTTCATCTGAGCAAGATAAACAATTCCCCACCTGTCCAAAGGCACAAATTACGTTACTTTCTCACTACGCTTCCTTTTTTTTCATTTTGCTTTGTTTTTGAGGGGTTGGTAAAGCGAAAACATGAATAACTGATTGTTGCAAAGACTAGCACATTTCTCTAGACAATAGAAAGCAAGGAGCAGTGGAAAGAAAGTTCAATGTGTAATCTGGTATAGTCCATTATAAAATAACAGAGCTAAAATATTGTCCAATGACTACTTTAACTCTATTGAAAATAGGATAAGGAGTCATATTGTGGATAAAGAAATAAGTTGTGCCATAAACACCCTTTACAAAATACTCATACAAATCAACAAATGTCCACAGCAAACTTACCAAACTAAACATATCAAGTAAATCCCACTCAGGAGTAGGGTAGGATTTGGGGAATGTCCACCACAAACAACAAATCTGAGTATAATCCCAATTGCATGCATGTTCTATATGCCTTAACTTGAACTAGAGTTAGGAGTCTAATGACTGTGGAGTCTGGTTGCTAGAATCAGGAGTCTAAATGCAGTTTTAAATTGAACTGAACTTTGGAGTTTGGTAACTCAAATCTGAAGATTTGTAACTAGAGCCTGGAGTCAGGACAGGATTCTGAATAATTGGAACTAAAAGTTGATTAGAACAAGGCTCAAGTTGGGGCCTAGGGGGTCAAGATATACACAGCATTACTCTCATAAAAGCAAAGAGATTGTTTCCCAAAACTTCATTGGGATTTGGGAGTAAGAAGCAAAGGAAGTTTAATTTGCCATATTGATTATGTCCATTATTTATTCATCCAAAGCTAAAACATTGTGAAAAATGATTCTTTTAGCTCCACTGACACCAGACAGTAACTGGATAGAGTCCACAACTAATTGAAAAGATTATAGAAATACAAAGTGCACTATGTACTTGCTCTAGTAAAAATCATTTGTTTGAATCTAGATCAAACACATCTTAGCACAAATTTGGTTCAAACCACTAGAACAAGGTCTGTTAATAATACAGTAGATTATTCAAGGTATACCAAGCACCCCCACCCCATGGAAAGACAATTTCATACTGAAGTTGTCATCTGAGGTCTAACCAAAGGCATTTGAGAAAATGACAGCACTAAGGCAAATAAGCATATACTGTCCATTATCCTTTGATGAATTTCCCTGAATTATAGAGAATCAAGCGTGACATTAAGAATATAGCTCATATACTGTCCATTATCCTTTGATGAATTTCCCTGAATTATAGAGAATCAAGCGTGACATTAAGAATATAGCTTGTGAAATATGCCCTGGTTTGTTACTAGGCTAAAGATGAAACTTACATCATCCAGCAGCAAACTGTTGCCGTGGCGATCAATGTCACATGTAACCTGCAAGAGAAAGCATTTTTTATTAAAAAAAACACAGCTCTATACAAAGCAGAAACAGAAGTTTATCGATAACAACAAAACACATTATAATATCATGTAAGAAAACATGGAGATTGCTTCTTTTCGACAATTGATGCATTGTTGCATTAACTACCCAAAAGGCCATAACTTCATAAGAAGTAAAATACAAAGTAAATTTCATGTGGCATTCCGGTCTAATGACCAGACCATTAACTATCTGCAACCATAACATTGGAGATGCCTCTGTTATATTAATCGCATGAAGTACCTTTTTTTAATGAAAGGAAGACAAAGGCCGGTGACACAGATTGAATGCTAGCTCATACTTGCAATTTAGGAAACCACAGTCCCACAATATCTAGTACAACTCTACAAGCTTTTAGGTGAATTAAAACAACTATGCCCTATGTACACCATGGTGTACACCAAGACGCTTCACCTACAACACGTATAGGGGTGGCACTTTCACTGACAAGCAGGTGAAAATTGCTCAGACAGACACGTATTGTAGGTGAAAAGTGTCTTGGTGTGCACCATGTCGTACAAAGGGAAATCTTGTCATGGAAATAATTACCAGAATCCCAGCCTATTTCATCTAAATCCTTCTCTCTTCGCTCCAAAGTTTTCATTTGCAACAATTCTTACGAAACGTGTCAAGATTTACATTTCATTGACAACTTAACAACATTAAAATCATCACAAAAAATGCTTAGAAGTGAAAATATCAAAACAATTAGCAGCACCATATACTCAATATAGAAAAAGAACGAGCCAAAACAGATCTGTACAGATTAGTGGAAGGCCCCCTGTTAAAGCAAATTGTGGCACAGAAAGATGCAAGCACCCCAAGAGCGACAAAAACAAGCGTCGTCACCATAATCCCCATCCCGGATCAATGTCAGCGGCCCCAGGGCCCAATCCAGCAGCTTTCTGAAACAGATCCCAGAAGCGAGTTCAATAACTCCCCGTGATGATCCTGATCGTCCAAACAGATTGAAGAAAGACGAATATTCAAACAATCAGATCACACAATGAAACGCATGAATCGATCGCTGCTAGAAATTAAGCTGTTTACGATAAATTCATCTATAGATCAATTAAATGTTGAAAAATCTCTGGGGGAAATCGAACCTGGTTTTCCGGCAACACAACAGAGTTAGAGACCTGCAGCAAACGCTGGGTTGGTTTCTGAGATCGAACCTCCTGTTTGTTTTGTTTAAAAATTTCCCTTTTTACCTTTGGTTAAAGAATTTTGAAAGAAAACAAAAGAATTCTCTTCAAAAAGAATTTGGTTTTCTCTTTTTAGCATATTTTTTTAGTATATTTTTTATTCTCATTTTATTTTTTCTTCTACTTTCACGAGTTTTTCATCTCTAATCAAATAAGAAAAATTGATTTTCTACTTTATTTTCTTTTTTTCCTTTCTAAATTTTTTGAATCAAACATAAAACATAGTGCTAAAGTTTATTACACATATTCTATATTTATGAACAAATAGAGACATACTTAAAGCCTACACTCATTTAAAACATAATATACCCCGTATCTAATTAATTTTTAATAGACAATTATTGTAGAATAGAGAAAGTATTTGTTTTTTTATTGCACAAATCAATGATATGGATGCGTGAAAGTACTTAAACAAGAGAGAAAAAATTGTTTGAACTTTTTGTTGAAAAAAATGAATCTCATTTCGGAAGGATCTCTTATATGGTAATTTGACTTTATTCACACATTGGTGGAAAAAAATTAATTTATACTTGGTACTTGCAAAAGTCATGTACTTAGTATAATTGTCTCTTAGTGCAGTCGTTAAGAATCAAACTCAAATTTAGCGTTTGTTATTCATTGTCTTCGCTAACTATGCAAAACCAACCGAAGTTGGGTATTCGAGATTGCCCACATGATATGTGAAGCCAATGACTGGTCATGTTGATTAAAGAGAACTTGTTTGAACTTTTAAACACCATTCATGTTGACAAATGGTCCCCCCCCCCCCATTGAATTCCAAACACATTTATAAACCCATCTCTAAACCAATAGTGTGAAAATAATTTCTAATCTGATCCCATACCACTAAAAATTAATAATAAATATAAGTTAAAACAANCAATAGATTATGACAAGATTTATACTCCCTCCACCCAAAAAATATTTACACATTTACTAGACAAATGGCCTATTTGATACTCCCTCTGTCCCATTTTAAATTGCTTATTTGCATTTTTTCTCCGTCCCAAAATAAATTGTATATTACTTGTTATCGTAAACTTTTAAAAATAAAATACCCAAAATAAGTCACTATTTTCCACCTTATCTTCTGATTCATCGTCACCCCTCTTAAAAAGTAATGGCAATTTCGGAAAATCAACTCTATTTTTTCTTTTCCTTAAATATATCCAAAAATCAAAACAGACGATTTAAAACGAGACGAAAGAAGTAGTAAAATAAGAGTCATATCCGCTTTAGTTGTGAAAATCTTCTAATGTACGGAGTAATTTTTAGATATGTAATTATATTTTTTTGATTTCATATCATTTTTTATACAAAATGATTATAAAATAACTTCAATCGAAAATCATAATGTGCAAGAGGAATATAATTTTTGGACGAAGAGATTGCCCTGTATTGAACATGTTAGCATCTTTTTTACCCAAAAGAATAATAAAAAAACATTAGAGTAAAAAAAGGATAGATACAGAAACACTAATCATTATTATTACCACTACAACAGTTTCATTATCACAAGCAAAGTAAAAAAAACACTTAACCTCCAGAGAACTAAAACATCTACTCATATAGCCAGCCAGAGTCGTTATGTGGAGCGGGGCGGTAAGGGCCTTGCGCGAAGCTAAGCGAATTAAAACTATTATTACTAGGCGGAGGAGGAGGGCCCTGAGGAGTGTCAAAGCCATCCATCGTCCTCACCCTCGACTGGCTCACATCGTGCCGCTCCGGTTGGCCCCACCCCATGCGACCTTGCGGCAGTGGCCCATTATAAAAGCTATGGGCTTGGTCCGCAAAGCCGGGCCCACCACCACCATATCGGCTGAGGTGATCGAGGTGGCCATACATATGAGCTGTTGGGGCATGATGATGAGGCGGTGGAGCGTACTCTGGTGGACCCCTCGGAGGGCTATCCCATCTGTCTTCCAAGTATTTGTTCACCACGTCATACTCGACGGACGGAGGCATTCTGTCGTGACGCTTGGGTGGAGGCATATGGGCTCGGCCTGGCGAGGAACTAGGGCGAGGACTATTACTGTTGTTATTGTTTTCTTCTTCACGGCGCCAGTGCATTGATCGTTTCCTGGTGGAGACATTGGCTGAGGGATGGTGTCGCACGTCGGCTTTTGCCACGGTCCCGTTGTTGTTATTATTGTTTCCTTCTCGCCACCACTGCATTGCTCTTTTCTTGGTGGAGAAATTGGGTGAAGGACGATGTGGCAAGGCGGCTTTTCCCGTGGGCCCACGTAAATTAGTATTATTATTACTATCATTATTACTATTGCTATTATTATTATTATTATTGTGGTTATTTTTATTATTATTATTAATGCCTCCACGTGGTGGCTGCCTCTTACCGCCACGGGAGACGGTGGTGGGTGATGGGTTGGGGGATGCTGGCAAAGCGGCTTTCGCACCTGCGGGTGGCGGTGCGTTGACGAACGAGTCCCTCCTGCCCTGTTGCTTCTTGAAGTTGCGAAGCGCACCACCCTTCCCCCTAAAGTTGCCAGGTTGCTTCTTCCCACTTCCAGGTTTAGGACCATTCTTGACTTTTTCAACAGTTGCTGTTGCTGGTGCGGGTGGGGTAGACTCGGCCTTCTCAGTTTCTACCACTACCTCTCTCGAGGGTGGCTTGGAATCATCATCCGCGGTGAAGGTAGGGGAAGGGACGGTAGTGGTGGTGGCAGCAGCAGTGGTCTTCTCAGACTGATTTTGATCCTTTTTAGGGACAGGGACTGTGGCGGTGGTCTTCTCAGATTGATTTTGGTCCTCCTTTTTAGGGACAGGGGCGGCGGTGGTGGTCTTCTGAGACTGGTTTCTGTCCTCCTTTGTAGTAGGCAGCAGGTGCCCATGCTGTTCAGCAATTTCTCTGTGTTTGGAGGTCCAATCTCGACGACTCCAAAGATAAAGGGGCGGTGCTGATACGTTCCAATCATCCAATGTTTTGTCATTCACGTCAACTGATCCCGGCAAATAAAAAGCCTGCAGCAATCATCAGTAGTATGGGGATTGATTGGTATTTTTACTTTACATCTCTACCATTTCAATATCTACCTACATCATTTAAGTGGGCAGATATGTTGACAGTGCAAATTAGTGTCAACGGATGACACTGGACACCTATGACCTCCCACACCCAATCCCGACCAGAACACATCCCCCAACCCCGTCAATTACACCCTGCATGTTTAGTTGACTTTGGGGTCAAATGGGCAAGTGTCATCCGTTGACATCGGATGCCAGTGTCAACAAACCGCCCCGGGAAGCGGGATACAGTATAAAATTTAACAAAATAATCCATCACCTTTCCACTTAGTAGCTCCTCATTCTCCCAAATGAGATCGTAAGCATTCTTTTTAGCATCAAGTCTGTGAGCCAAAGACAAGCAAACCACATTACAAACCAAATTGTATGCATGTATCTATGTATGGGAAATGGAGATATCGCAACCGGTAACATGTAACTACTGAAGAATATCAGATTAAAAATAAAAGGTTTGTACCGTTGGGTCTCCTGAGGGACGATAAGGATGAGGAGCTTTGGCTTAAACTCAAGGGCTTTGTTAATAAACTTATTGGCAAGCCCTGCATTCACTCCAAAAGGAGGATTTAACCCCATAATCTGCACACGACCCCCCAAAAAAAAGATGAATAAATGTGAGCAACTGCAGTGCTTGATGTCAGATTTTGAAAAATACTCCCTCCGTCCCACTGTCTTTGTCCACTTACCTTTTGGCACACCATCCAATGCACTTCTTTAATCCATTTTATCTTGTAATTTGTATATTAAAAAGTTATAGAAATTATATATTAATAATTTATATGTTAAAACAAATCAAACAAGATCACACATGACTATATTTAGGCTTACACATTGAGAGAATTTGATGAGTCAAAGTGCTTAGATGAATAGTTTCAAAAGTCAAAAGTGGACAAAGACAGTGGGACGGAGGGAGTATTTCAAGAAGCAAGGATTCTCACCAACTTTGACCCGGGAGGTAATTCCGTCGGCTGGACAGTCATCCAGTCCCTCTTCTCAAAACAAAAATCATTCTACAAGGAAAGGAGATGAATTCATAAATACATGCAATAAGTTCTCACATACACCTCAGCCATCAAATATCACCACCAAATCGAAAGAAATTGCCATTTAAAAAGCATGTAAAGTAGTACAATTCACCTTTGGTTGCAAAATGTCAAAATTTTTAAAAGAACATTTCTTCCCGATCTCATCGACCTTCTTTTTCATAAGGCAACTGAAATCATTGGAACCACAGCAGAAATCCACAATCTGTTCAAACAAGAAACTTAAAAATTAAGATTTGACTAACTCGGACAGCATCGCAGATTTACATGGCATTCATGCCATGTATGCATGTTTTTATTTTGTGAAGTAGCGAGGAGAGACTTTTGAAAATTTTTGTGTAATATATCAATGTGGGCCACTATAGACACTTACAGTGTCACCTTCTTGAACATACCACTGAAGCATATTCACAATCTGCACAAATAATATGCAATCAAATGGTTAGCAAAAGGGGAAAGGTTAAACTATTTTCTTTACTTCGCAAATAAGAGGACGTTTTTCTGTGTGATGCCCTATAACAGGTCTACATGGTGAAATTTAATATGATTAAAAAAAGAGTGAAATAAATATTAAATCAATCCTGCAACTAGAGTTGGATCATCTCCTGTGAAACCTACAGAAATCTAAGTTACCCCAGCCTTAGAGTAAAACATGTTTAAAATGAGTGATTCATCAATATATCTTTAACACAAATTGATATCCTCTATAAACACCAAGGTGGGTAGGTGTAAAAGGATACTCATCTTTTATTGGCTCTCTAAGAACCTCAAAATAATGACCACACGCCAAAAATCACCCCCTCAATTTAAAGGAAAGATGTGTCCATCCAATTGCCTACTTAATATACATAGCCACAGAAAATCATGGTCATAATTATATTGCAAAACTAATAATATTGCATCATAGGGAGTAATACTTAATGAATTTAGCCAACATGTAACTATTATAAATAACTAATAAAAATTAAGATAAAATCCAAAAAATGTAATATCTGATGCCTTAACCCATAAGCTTAGTATCTGATAAGTGATATCTATATCAACTTGATTTCTTAAAAACATGAATGCATCCCCCGAACTGCAAAGGTGAAAACCCCCCAGTTCCTAGCCTCTAATCTCTTCTGATTCAGTATGTGTTTCCTACCCTTCCCACCTTTCTAGGGGGGTTAATAGTTGGTAATGAAGTGAACAATGTGTCAACCAAACAAAACATGTAATACCTCCTTTAGCTTGTCCACCTGAGTGAAGTGGCGACCAAATGAGGTGTAGCGCATGCCATATAAAAATGGAGCGAGATAAACTTTTAGCTTGTTCTACAAATAAAAATACGAAATAATTAGAACAAAAACTTCCAGAAGATGCTACGAAGTGAAATTTCAAATAGAGGCTTACAAAGAAGATTTTTTTAACGAACCAAGATGTCCAATATAGAACATGTTTGACAGAAACAGGAAAAAAAGCATTATAATCCATGGCAAAATCTATTTGGTGCCCTAAGGGCAACATATAAGAGGTAAAAATTATCAAAAGCTATGCCAAAAACTCACCTCATTAAGAGGAGTCGTGTGTATTAATTGTTAGTCAATTTTTAGAATAATGGAAAGTTGAAACTCTTTGTCCCATATTAGTACATTTGATTATCAATTGTTTTCTCCATCTCAAAAATATCCTATAATTTGATAAATAAATTATTTTTGTCACCTTTTAAAGATGTAAATTTTATTTTTTTATTTATATATCTATTTGTAAATAATATTTTTTTCTAAAATTCAAGAATTTTACAAGTTGTTCGAATATATAGAGAATGTTATTTTGGAACAAAAGGAGTATATATAAATTTAGTATATTTGATTTAGAAAAATACTTTGGGAACCCCACTTGGCGTACACTAAATATATGTGTGTGAACAAGCATTGAGTGTCAATGTGTCTGTTTTTGTCTTAGTGTTCACTTGGTCTACCACAAGTGAGGTTCCCCTAGCACCCTCTGCGATTAAAGTCCAATTCGCAGCCGAGTCTAAGGGGGACCTCGGGGATGGGGCTCATCTTTTTAAACAAGTTTAAAATATCATATTTTTATAAAACTTATTTATCAATTATAAAAATATTAATGGTCAAAATATACTCTTGGAGACCGTGAAAGGCCCAACAGAAACCTTATCTTACAACGGAAAGGATATTTGAGAAATTTCTAAATAGGACATTCTAAAATTTATATGGAGTATAAAAATAGGACTTTCAATTTCAATACTGCTTAGATATAATGCTACAAAACATTGTGAAATGCTACTATAAATTGTGTGGTTGAAAGTGATACAGAAAAGAAAAAATAATAATAATAAATACCATCCCTTTTCATAGTGAAAAGCAAAACTTCAATTTTTTGGATGGACTAAAAAAGAAATATAAAAATTATTGCGGGATACTATTTCATTTCTTAATTTTTTGACCTTTTTATATGGAGTATAATTTTTAAAATAATATTTTTTATTAGACCATTACTATATTTTTTAGCGATATAATTTAATTTTATAAAAATTAAAAGTAAAAGATATCATGAATCAATCCCAATTCCCAAATGAAGCCTACATATTTCTCCGTATTCGTCATGACTAATGAACTCTGGTATATTAATTGCATGAGTGACTTTTGATATTCCATAGAAATGATCGGTAGATGATCGGTAGCTTAAGCCTGATTAATTAGCCATATTGATTACGGCATTTAATTGTCCGTATCTTTTGCCCTTAGGGAAACAAATATCACTCCACATAATCCATAGATGGCATGTGTATATCACTACAAATTAAAAATGAAAAAATGGCATGCTTGGTGGAAATGAGAAGAATATAGGGTAAACTACCTTCCATTTTATTATCTGTGTAAGATGAGCAGGATCACAAACTACTTTTGCATCATCAACACTTCCCCCTTCTTCTAGCCTTTGTAATGCTGTACGAATTGCCTGCAATCAAATTACTGAGTATAACTGACTCAAATATCAGAGGGAGTACTCATGAAATAAAGGAAAGAATAGAAATTACCTTAATAGACCCCTCAACCTTTCCTAAGGTTATAGACCTATCTATTGCAACTTTTGAAAGGTATGCATGTTCAGTTGGCACTTTGAGCATCTTCAAAACCTCGTCAAGAGTAAGTTTGGAAGACTCTTTCATAAGATCCTGTATCCTGGGAGGTTGAAAGAAATTATAAAAATGGGCCAAATTAGTATTAGTTCACACTCCCGGAAAAAGAGAAAACCGGGGTAAGAGTAGCTAAGACTGCTTAATCAATCATGCAATTTATGGTAAAATGAAAGTGTAGACGCAAATACATTAACTGCTCAAGGACTTCGCCTAACAATTGATTAATTCATGTAGAACATAATAAAATTCAAGTAGTCAAATGAGCATGACTACTTTTACACAACTTCATTAAATAAAAAGAACTTAGATAAAATTCATTTTCAATCCTTTGTGGATTATTGAAGCACTGATAGATGGGATGAGAGATGCAGCTTGTTGCAAAATATTGGAATAGTTGGTTCACCTTTTTTCTGAATCAGCATCAAGATTTGATGAACTGCTTAGTTCCTTCTTTGCAAGTGAAACTTTAGTCACTTTATTCGAATCCACTGGCTCGGCATCACTGCACCTTTGTTGATTCAGCTCAAATAGCATTTGCCCTAAAGTCATTTTGCCTTCAGCTGCACCAGGTTGAGAATTAGCAAAGGAAGCCTTATCTGCACTCCTTTTGGTAGTACCCATCACTTTCTGTTTCTTAGAAATACTGGGTGGGGGAAACTTTCCCTCTCTCTTTTTGGAAAGTACACCAACAGATCCAGTGGATGGCTTCTGCAGACCTTTTGAGAGCTTGGCAACACTATTTTGGCTCACATCTTCAGTTTCATGCAAAGGGCCACTACTTTTCCGTATGATCTTTTTTTTCTCCAGCATCTTAGTATTCTGCTTTACTTTATATTTATTAACCCCAGGAAATTTTATATGGTTTCTTACAGGCGTCTTAATTTCAACATCAATTTCATGCTCTCTGTGAAAGATTAAATTCAAATCAGCCACAACGCAAAAGAGAGAACTTATTCAGATTCAATTCACTTACAAGCAACAATAACCCAGTATAATCCCAACTCTGTTTGGGTCTAGGGTCAAGATGAAGCAATCTTACCACCATAAAAAAACAGAGAGGATGTTTCTCTTAAACCCTAGATGTACTGTTTCATTTAGCAGCCAAAACTTCATAGAAAGTAAGAAGCAATGAAGTTTATGTGCCAATTGAAATTTAGTACATTATGTGCCTAAAACTAAAATAGTAAAACGTTGTTGATAATGATTCTTTTAGCTCTATTGGGAATCAACATTAATTCACTTACAAGCAATATATCAATATTCTGTTAGGAATAAGATTCTCCCAAGCCCTTGTTACCGTATTCTGGTCTTCATCAATATTCTGTTCTTCATCAATATTCTGCTCTTCATCAAGATCCTGCTCTTCATCATCATCATTGAATACAATATCACTGACAAGTAGAGAGAACCAATCAGTCTAAATATGATAAATAGTCATAACAATCAAAACAGTAATAAGAAAATTCTAAAAGAGGTTGGGGACCTTGGTAAACATTTCCTATGATATGCTCTAGGGCACCGCCTGCAAATAGCAAATTGCATATCCTTATTTTTCTTGTCTTCAATCTGATTGCAAACAAAGCATTGGTGTATGGGACAAGCAAACGGTTCTCCAGCAGCAATCTTTTTCTGAAGACTGTCCATATTTAACTTCTTACTGTGATTAAGCAGTTTGGCCACACAATGTGGGTGGTAAAAGCGACCACAAGTAGCATTAACACAACGGAAAACCTGCAATTGATTTTTAAACTCAAAGGGATCAGTGAAATTCACAAAAACAAAACTGTGAATGATAGTGCACATTCTTGAATCAGCGCCAAGAATCGATGCCAACATGATATAAGATAAATGCAGTCTCCCAAATTTGATATACCACATACTACCTCCATCCCAACATGAACCTGACAATTTGACTTCATGGAATTTAAGAGAAGTGTTGAAAAGTGAGTGGTTAAAATTTCTTTAAAGAATAAGGGATGTTGTGAGCCACATATTCATTTCCTAAAAAGGAAATTTGACAAGTGTAAGCTTATTTTGGAACAGACAAAAAAAGAGCAAATTTTAGATAGAAGAATTGAAAGAGATTCACCTGGAAAATGCGCTAGTTGGAAGTTTAATGGGATAGGAAACTAGAGAGCAGGTTTTACATAATATAGCAGAAGTACACTGTATACATTAAAATGAGAAAGAACCTATTGGTTTTAACTTATACTCCGTATTATTGTTTACATTTTGTTTGCATGAAATCAGTTGAATGCATTCAACCAAATTGAAGATATGTAAATTGATTATTTGACTATATCTGCACCTCAGCACCAGAGGATAGATCTGATGACCCCAACTCTCCACAGGCAAAGCACTGATGTTTTTGGTATAGACAATTCTTGCAATAAAATTTCTGGATATCCTGCAGTAATCATGGATGTATAGCAAGAGGTAAACATATACTCAAGATGCTTCACATTTTTAAGAAGGAAAAAAAGAAGTGAAAGAAAAGAAAAGTTGATGCATGCATGGATTGGTACAGCCACACTACATTACTACAGCTTGCAAGTTGCAATATGCCAAACCTATGCCAAACCACACACGCATAGCTAAAATGACAGCCATCATATTACTAACTACTGAGTTGTTTAAGACAAGCTAAATCACTGTAAGCCCATCTACGAATATTCTGCTACAACGCTTAACATTTGAAAACTAAAGCAAATAATAAGACAAAATTGTTAAATAAATAACACTATTAATTTAGATTTAACACCAAAATTAATAAAGGATGGGACAAGAAAACAGAAGAGGAAATTAAATAGATTGCATAAAGTTATATGGAGAACCCAGACATCTTTTGATTCTTCTCAAACATGCTCTTGTTATATCAAGACTTACTTCAACTTGTTCGCGAGTCAATCCAAGAGATTCACAAGGAGGGTCCACATCACTGCCAGCTTCTTCAGTAGCATGGAATGACCTCAGGCACTTCCCCTCACAGCTACAAAGATGCCAAAAGTTGTCACATACGGAAGATATAATGTCATCATCATCATTATCATTTACTAGCACCTTATTGTTAAATAGTTGGGGCTGGTAATACTTAATTTGTTTAATTGACTGTAATGGTGTATACAATTGATTAAGGTGATAAATCCATGAAAACTGCATAGTTGCAATATTTTATGCCAGATGCTACTCTTGTTGCAACCTTCAAAGTATTAATGAGATGAAAATTCTTAAACTATCATCATATGTTATTTACGCATTTAATGAAAATATCAACAACAATGATGAGTTGAGATATTTTCTTATTTTTGTATTCCATTAAAAGAATGATATTGTTCAAAAAAAGTTGATATTTTTAACCCAACAAGCAAATCATGGATCCTGACTTAAGAGATACACACACACATACATTATACATATATATAGGCCTTATAGGGTTCAGGTGAGAATGATCAATACTATGAGAAATGAGAATGGTGCATTTTTAGTCCATTATGATGCATTTAACACTTGTAGTGGTGCATTTTCGGCACTGACAGAAAAATTTGATTTATTTATAAAAATGCCATTGCAATTTTTTCCATTTTTCCCAGTTCTTTTGCAAAAGCATAGACATATCGGAAAGAAATATGAAACATGCAATTAATGCATTTAAATTAGATAAAAAAGAACAAACCAAATAATTTCACCACCATTGTCACAGATTGCACAGACAGATTCAAACTGATCATCTTCCTCATCATCAGATCTGCCTTCATAACTTTCATCACCTAGATCGTCAACTATGAACCCTGAAAGGGTTTTATCCTTTACCTGCTCGGACAAAAAAAATGCTAAAATAAGTTACTGGGCAGCTTTATACTTGCCCCGTGTCTTATCTACTAGCAAATTTTTACAAGGCAGAAAGTATGGAGTGTCTGTAATAAACATATGATGTTTTCACAAGTGGCCCTGACCTCATCAACAATTTTCTTCTTTGTAGGCCTCTCTTTAAGGAATGTAACTAAAACCTGAACAAGAAAGCACGAAGCACTCTGTAACTAAAGATTGAAGATTCTAATATTTACAAACAACATACTACTGATGTTGCAAAATGCATCAACAACCAAATGTTTTCCATGCTTCTTCACAAACAAACATTCATAGACATACTTTAATTTCCAAAATATCATTCATTAATCTTAAAGAAAACCTTCAGAATATCTTATATAGTGGGTCAACAGTGCTTATAAGCCGTTTTTAGGATATACTCTCTCCGTCCCTAAAAGATTGCCACATTTTGACTTTTTTGGTTAAATTGTGACACCCTTTGACCATAAATTGGGGGAAAAGTATATTTAGTTCTAATGAAAAATGAGTAAAATTTGGTTTATTGAAAATAGTTTTGAAATACCAAACCTTTATAATATTTAATAATTTAAACTATATTTAATTCATGGTCAATGGGTGTCACAAACTGTGGCAATTTTTTAAGGACGGAGGGAGTAAGTCACTTGATGGTGTGTTTCTCGGTGTTTATGAGTCAGAGAAAATAAGTAGGTCTTACCTGCTTATTTTTAAGCCTATTTTTTGTTTCTCAATATTGACCTAATCATTTGCAAAACTATCCCTAAACTTTTATGAATATCCCCAAATGACTAATCTCTCATTTAAGTTACTTTACAATAAATATTTCAATAAACAACTTATAAGTCAAAAACTACTTGTAAGCAATAAGCCATTAAGCACCAACAGAGAGAAACACCTTCATAAAACTGAAGAAGAATCATAAGAAGTATATCTACCTTAGATTTGGCCAGAAGTTCATCATGCTTCAAAGTTTCACTAATAAAATCAATGTGCTCCACTAGGTCGTTCTCCGAAGGCTTTGGCTCAAAACTACAAGTATACACAGATGAATAAAGTTTAAAAACTAAAACTCTGAAATTAAAAAAAGGCAAGTTTTGTATAGAATCATGATGGAAACCTGAAAACCTTGTGCAGAAGTTCCCACAAGGATTTAAGAGAAGCGCCGGGATTTTTTTGAAAAAAATGCAAGCAATGCAGAGTAACCACTATTGTTCTAATAATTGTATCCTCATAGGCCTTCCTTGGTTTCTCAAGCAAGATCCAGCTCTTCTTTTTATGCAGTACCCAGAGGCTAGGCTTTGGGCTTGACAAATCAAATTTCCAGGCAGTAACTTCTTCATAAATCTTCATATTGCCATTATCAGCATCCCCGCGCAAAAATATATGCTTCCTCTTTCCACCCAAAAGCTCATCCTTTTTCCACTGAACTGGTAACGCCGAGAACGAAATCGGCTCGTCGTCATCATCTACAAAATCATAGTTTGATACAGATTTTATCTCTGCTTCGGCTTCATCGCCAGAAGATGCCATGCCCTTCACCCAATTGCTCTCTCGATGATCTTACAACAGTAAACATCAACCCAAAAAAAACATAGGTATCAGAAAAAAGATGTAAAAGCATATCCACTTATGATAATGCAGTTTGTGCTGCCCGATTCCGGCCAAAACGAACTCAAGATAAAGTAATCAGAGAACTCAAGATAAAGTCATCAGACTGCATTAGACTAAAAAACATCTCAAATTGAAAAAAAAAATACATAACAGCCCAAAAACTTGTTTAAAACGTGATAATTAAATATGAAGAGCTGTATTTCGTACGAAACTTCAAAAATTAGGGGTGACAGATGATCGGTAGACCAGTGTTTGAGATTTCGATCGAATTCTGACCATCTAAAAAGCATCAATATGCTAAAAACATCTACTAAAACCGAGTAAAAACCATTAATGATCTAAAAAACATCTACTAACTGTGTTTCCTATCTGCAAAATTGAAACAAAACATATTCTTTGCTTGAGAATACATACACTTGGTAAGGAAGGATGCTGAAGCAGATGACACTGAAGATGGAGGCGAGAGTAGACGAGAAGCTTGTTGCGATAACCAATTGAAGATCAAGGGATTTTGCGTTTTCGTATACTCCTCCCCGGGTTAGGTCTCATACGAAAACAGGCCCAAAATAAATCCCAACATTTTTGCATATAATTGCATCTTTACGAAATAAAATTTTTATAGAAAAAAAACATACTCCTCTCATCCCAATTCATTTCACACACAAAAAAAAATCAAGTAAAACTTTTGATTATATTTTAAATACTTTTTCCATTCACAAATAAACTTTACGTTTACTATTCACAGGGTCAAACTTTATTCACTTTGTTGGCCTATTTTCGTCACCCATTTGATAAAATAATATAGTCATGTCACCTCTAATTTTGTAAATCTTTTGATATAGTTTTTTAATATGTAATTTTTATTTTTAAATTCTACACCATTTTTCATTTAAAATGATTTGAAAATAACTTCAGTCAAACATTGTAACGCGCAACGTAAAATTTATTTGTGGACGGAGGGAGTATGTAAAATATATTTTTTATTTCTTTATCAAATTATAAATAAATTTATTTGAAGTAAAATTAATCACCATTCGAAAGAGATAAAAAAATTGAAACGGAAGAAGTAGGTACTACTCTTATTCAAACACTGAAACGAATGTTATTCTCTAATTTCTGAGAAGATTAGCTTTCTCACAAGTTTTTTACTCTTATTCAAACACTGAAACGAATGTTATTCTCTTATTTCTTCATCTGCATATATCTCAATCACATCAGTTCACCTTTCTTAAACAATGAAGAAAATGGAAACTTAAATTTAAGACGGAGGAAGTATTTGACTGATTTAGCAACCTCAATAATGGTGTAAAACTACTGAATTAGTACAATCGAATTACATCATTGATTAAAAAAGAAACAGAGCAGGGACGATTGACGAACACAATTGTGCAGACAATTAGGGCAGAACATACCCAAGAATAAACAATATAATCAGATCTCAACTGGAAGCAAAGGAGACGATGATGAAGAAGAAGACCGCAGAGGTTGAAGGAGAGACGGACGGTCGGACTTCGGAGGAACGATGAAGGACGGAAGGAGTTTTTATAATCTTGGACTTTTGGATGAGATTTGAGAATGATTTTATATTTATACCTAATGCTACAAAATCCATCAAAATCCACCTTTTTAAAAATCTTTAAAAAATTATCAACTTTTAGAATACCATCATATTTAGAAAGATTTTTAAAATCTCAATTGAATACATCCAAATTTTAAATGACTTTTTTAAATCAGAATGGAATACTTACAGATTTTCAGAATCTCAAAAAATTCATCAAAATCTGGATTGAATACACCCCCTTTAATGTCTATGCCTACACATGTGGGGTAGCCCTAGTAGTGTGCCCCTACCACTCCTCTAAAATAAAATTGTCATATTCAAATTTTTCTATCAAACTATTTGTACTATTTACCTAGGTACATCGGTCATGACTCATGGCCTCATGGGGTAGTTATATACGAGTATCTAACATGTTTCATTAATATGAATATTTACTTAGTTTGACTTTTTAAATTAAATTAGATGAATTTTGAATATTAATTACTTTAAATTTGTACTCCATTCGTTTTTGAATATTTGTCCATTTTTAATTTTTTTTGGTCAAAATTAGTATTTTTAATCACAAATAAAAAAAATGATATTAGATATTGATAGAATAATATAGATTTATAATATCAAATATTTTCAAAATATTATTTTATTTAATTGATATACAATATATGTTTTATTTAATTATAAGTCAAAGGTTAAAAGCGATTGACAAAAAATAGTCAAAACTGAATAAATACTCAATGACAGAGTAGTATTACATATTAATACAATGATGAATATTCCAAAAAATTTTGAAAGGTCTCAACAAAGCAAATATAATAAAATCATGTTAATACTAATATACATTACAACTTTTGTTAATAAAGCTCAAAATGTATACAATTTCATTCGAAAAAATCCAACTCGACAAAGAATATATATTCTTTCTATCCCAAATTAAAATGCATGTTTACTATTTACATAATCAAATTTTATTCACTTTCTATTTCTGTTTTTGTTAGTTACGGAGTATTTAATAAAATAATATAGTTATGTCATCACTAGTTTTATAAATATTTGATGTAGTTTTTAAATATGTCATTTTTTTCTTTAATTCTATATCATTTTTTATATAAAATAATTTGAAAATAACTTCAATCAAACACCGTAAACCAAAACAGACAATTTAAATTGGGACGGAGGGAGTATATTTATGTGATAAAAGGAAATACTTCAAATAGGAGTAAAACATGCGAAGTACAGAGTAGCATTTATCCTCCATATTTTTTTTCTTACGACAACAGTTTACACTGTGACATTATGACATTGTATAGTGACATACCACTATATTTTTCTTGATTGAAGATTACATTACATGTCTGGACATGTATGTACACTTAACGACACCTTAACAACTTTCTAACAAACTTCCTAACTCTAAGCACCATATCATCTTAATCCACCGCTCATCAACGGTGACCCGATGAACTAAAGAACTTCAAGAGAAAATTGGAATGCATATATTCTCCCTAACAAAAAAAATCTCGATAGGCCATTGTTTGTATGACCAATTCTTTCAAGACAGCCAAAGAATGCATATTTATGACTAATGTCATACTTTTTTTTACAACATACAATCACTTAACAAAATTCAGAATCTTTGATTAACATGGAGGCATTATTTTATAACTTGTGTGTGGGTATAATACTAAAAAGGAGACTATAAAGAGAGATTTCCTGTAATATTATAACACTTTCCTGTATATTTTTCACTCCAACCCGAGTTGAAAACCAACCATTTGACTATGTATCATCTTCTTTCCCAGCTTGGGACGACGAGACCTCCTGCAATTGGGTGTCCTCCCCATTCTCAACCGGCAAAGAAGACGAGGCCTCCTGTGATTCAGTATCTTCATCTTCGGCGTGTGAATATGAGACTGTTGAATAAGAGGCGGCATCATCAACGGTCAGATTTGACAGTCCATCGAGTGAGATTTCATCTTCGCCGTTGATGGATGGTGCTGGGGAGGAGTCCGGGGAGAGTGCTACAGACGGAGAAGGGGATGATTCTGAATCACTCACTGGTTGCTGAAGGCTCCAGTACATGATGCTGGCAGTGAGTGTCAATATCATCTTTTGGTTGACCTGTAAGTACATAATGTCAAATACTTAGAGTGGGTTATTGTTTATATGAGCAAGGATCTTTTGACGCCATGAATGGGCCATTCTAAGACCTTATGCTCCATTGAGTCACAAAGTGGGTCCCAACGGAGCATTGTAGGGCTCCGGTGTCATATTATGACACTCGGTGTGTCAAAATAACTGTGGTCAATTTATCTATATATTATGAAAAATAATGATATGGGTTTTATTTATCCCCCCCTCCCACTCAATAAACTGCACTCACCCCAATGATATCCTCAGGCAGCAAAAATATTGAACAGCCGAGTTTCCGAGCAACACTGATGATATAAGTCGCATTTAATTTCTTTTCATCATCTGCAATTAAAATATATATATATATATATATGTATGTATGTATGTATGTAGTCATCAATGCAATAGCCATTTATTTATCATCATGGTAAAAGACCAATAACCACATAAGAGACTCCGCATTAAAAAAGCACTTCTAGGACATGTTTAGATGGAGGTTTTAGAGGGGAGTTTACAGAGAGCTTAGCCTATATCTTGATATATACATGTATGGATGTGGGTGCAAGATCTTATAAGATAAAAAAAGGAAAATATGAATCTAATATGTGAATTTTTTTCAGAATCTAACTTAAAACCACTTTTCGTCAGATAGGTCAAGCACTAAATTAAATGCTATACAACACTTTAACCAAAACGTTTTTTCTCAAAAACAGTTTTTTTATTGTTAGGCCAAACAAAGCCAAAACCAACCTGCATATGAAGCTTCGGAGTTGTAGTCAACTCAGTCTCTAGATTAAAACATAAAGCTAGTAGTTTTAAAAAAGTTGGAAATCCATACCACTTTCACCCTTTGAAACAAGGTTCCAGTTAACAACCCGTGGCTCCACTGCACTGAGAAGCTCTAGGAAAAAAAGCCCAGATGAAAGGCTCTTATCCTAAATCAACAGCCATTCAAGAATCACATCATCTCTCATGAGGCAGCCATAGTATAAAAGATAACAATACTTCAAAACACAAAATGAACCTTGAAGCTCTCCATTTTAGATGTTCTTCCTGTGCTTTTTACTTTTCTGTTTGCCCAATGGAGGATATCAGTATCAGTGATCTCCTTGCCTTGAAATCGTGATCTCAAGTTCTTCAATAGTTGAAGTATGTTAAACCTCATTAATTGCCACAAGAATGCTGGAAAGCAGGGAAAGGGGTGAGGGATGCTTCAAAGATATCTATAAATACTAGTGGATTTGGCCAAGAAAAAAGAAGAAATTAAGGCAATATATCAAATAAGGCCAAATTGATTGAGCATATTACCAAGTGTAAGCTTTTTATTCCCCTGAACAAAGTCATTCCCACCTACATTCACCAAGGAGAGTTTCAACTGCTTCCCAATCCTGACAACTTGGTTGCAATTCTCTACTTTCCTGAATGGCATCTTAATCGGTGGTTTTGTTGCATGTTTCCAATTCACTGATCCAGGAGATACCTTGTCCAGAACCTCCAGGAGTACCCATCTAAAAATGTGATACATCATACAGACAGTGAGAAGATTCCGAGGGTTACGAATTCAGGGTAAACTGCCAGTGTCTAACAAAATCATTATAAATAACAGTCAGAAACTTTTGGATAACAAAGTACTCCCTCAGTCCCAAAAAAATCATGTTTGAGTAATGTATGACTTTATACTTTTAGCCTGCTTAAATCAGGTACAAGATTTTAGGAGTTGCAAGTTATGAATGGTCACTTATGCCCCTAAAACTTTTTCCAAGAATGTTGTTTGGGGAATTGACAAAAACTGCTTGCTGATAGGCTTTACAAGAATATTACTCAAAAAGTAAAAATTGATTTCTAAAGATAGACTACTATTCCTCAGGACAAATAATTTTTTGAAATGCTGCTCTTTT